CACAAGAGGACTATGAGAGAGATTCTATCATTAGCATTTTACAAATGAGCCAGTGAGTCTCAAAGAGGTTCAGTCCCTTTCCCCAGCTCTCAGAGCCAGTAGGGCAAAGAGTCCCAGGGCAGAATGAAACCTCATGAAACCTCTTTCTACAGGGTGCTGTTTGAGTAGTGGGGTGTGTGAGTGTGCCCCCTGCCACAACCATCTTTCTCTGTCATTAACTGGCCTATTGACATGTTTTACACACAGTAAAGGAAGATTTCTCTCTCTGAGGCCTTTCTGAACTTCCAGTGCAGACACATGTGACTGTCCTGAGAGACTGGGTCTTCTGCAAGTATGGAAATGTGCTTTAATGGCACATCAGCAAAACCCAAGATCTGCGTACATCACTTTTGATGCGAAAAGTGTTAGCCTTTAGTCAGGGATGGGGCAGGGAAGCTAGAAGGGCGGGACTGGGAGAGTCACTAGACTTGCAGTGAGGCTGGCAGGGACCGTAATCTGGGAGAGAGGCAGAAACCAAGTGTAGGGATGTCAGTGAAGGTGGGAGTGCTGAGCAGATACAGTAGGTGAGAGTGGTGTTTAAAGAAAGTCATTTTCAGGGGCTGGGCATCATGGTTCACACCTGTAATCCCAGCATTTTGGGAGGCCGAGCTGTGCGGATCACTTGAGGCCAGGAGTTCAAGACCAGCCTGGCCAACATGGTGAAACCCCGTCTTCACTAAAAATTAAAAAATTAGGCAGACATGGTGATGCACGCCTGTAATCCCAGCTACTAGGGAGGCTGAGATGAGAATCACTTGAACCCAGGAGGTGGAGATTGCAGTGAGCTGAGATCGTGCCACTACACTCCAGCCTGGGCCACAGATAAATAAGTTCATTAATTAAATTAAATAAAAAGAAAAGAAAAAGAAAGTCATTTCAGGTGAGGATCAGGAACCTGGCTGGGGAGACAAGGCGGGGAGCAAGAGACACTCATTCATTTATTCATTCAACTTTCATTGACTCAGCAGACAGACTGAGCAATAAGGGGCCAGTTATCTCAGCTATAATAACTACCATTTAAAAAAACAAAAGCTCTCAGGGTTGCAACTTCCTGATTGTTCCCTGCCCCATATTCCAACTGTATTAACTGATCTCTGTACAGTTTCAAATGATAAAAATACACATGAACTATTTTAGACAAAAGGAGGATGTATTGGTTCCTATAACTAAACCATGGGAAGAGCTGGAGTGTAGTCAGATCTCAGGGCTAACTGGCACCGGCCAGACTCCTTTCTTTCCATCTGTCATCTCTCATCCATTCTTCTGAGTGTCCATTTCAGCCTCCCTCATTGGTCTCTTCCATAATGAATGGAAACATGGCGGCCCACACTCAGTGTCTCAGAGAGAAACTGAAGTTCCCACGCCGAGATGAACTCTGATTGGCCAGTTTGAGTCAGCTGCTCATCTTTAAGCCCATAGCAAGGTCATAGGAGACAAGATGGCAGCTCCCATTTGAACTACATGCTGGGGAATAAAGTAAGGGTCATTCCTCAGGGGAAAAAAAGTAAGAGGTGCTAAGCTGTCAAAACAGTAGATGCTCACTGCAGTCTACCCTTTGGTGCTCAGTATACACGCCTGTTTTCTTTCCCAAAGTAGAACTCCGAACCAGCCCCCACCTAACACCATATAGCCATCCCATGCACCACTGTGACCACATTCACCCTCACCCCGACAAGGGACCTGCAGCTGTGGCACCCAATGGTGTCTAATGACATCCGTCAACTCTGGACATGAATGCCTGTGATCCTGAGAACAATGAGCTAAATGACTAATCACTCCTAACATGCCAATGTAAATAATGAAGGGACCAGAAAATATGTGAGGAAAAATATACAAGAAGATAATGACCAAATAATTCCCAAATGTGATCAACACAGAACAAAATACTGCATAATCACAATGAAGACTTGGACTTAGAAAAGGAGGCGTAGGCTGGGCACCGTGGCTCACAGCACCTTGAGAGGCCAAGGTAGGTGGATCACTTGAGCCCAAGAGTTTGAGACTGGCCTGGGCAACCCCATCTCTACAAAAAATACAAAAAATTAGCCGAGTGTGGTGGTGTACACCTGTGGTCCCAACTACTCGGGAGGTTAGGATGAGAGGGTCAGTGGAGCGTAGGAGTTTAAGGTTACAGTGAGCTATGATCGTGCCATTGCACACCAGCCTGGACAACAGAGTAAGATCCTGTCAAAAATAAAGGACAGTTGGCGGGGGGGAAGGGAGGGAAGGGAAGGGGAGGGGAGGGGAGGCTAAGTTGATGAAATAAATAAGAATATAGTGACTCAAACAAGATGGTGGCTTATTTCCCTCATCTAACAGACCAGGCGTGGGCTGGAGTCCACAGCATAGGAGATGCTTTTCTCTGTCCTGCAAAGTTGCCCTGGAAATCAGATTCCTTCTGACTAGGTGTCCCACCATCCCTAGAGTTATGTCCTCATCTGCATGTTCAAACTGACACACATCATCACACCCACATCATGGTTTTTTTTTGTTGTTGTGTTTTGAGATGGAGTCTCGTTCTGCTGCCCAGGCTGGAGTGCAACTGTGGCATGATCTCGGCTCACTGCAACCTCTGCCTCCCAGGTTCAAGAGATTCTCCTGCCTCAGGCTCCTGAGTAGCTGGGACTACAGGCGCCTGCCACCATGCCAGGCTAATTTTTGTATTTTTAGTAGACAGGGTTTCACCATATTGGCTAGGCTAGTCTCAACCTCCTGACCTTGTGATCCGTCTGCCTCGGCCTCCCAAAGTGCTGGGATTACAGGCGTGAGCCACCGCGCCCAGCCTCATCATGGGTTTTTATAGGCCAGACTTGTGGCTTCTTTGGTGATCCAATTCTATCAAAAAGTTAGAAACATCCTGATCTATTTGCTTCCAATTATTTCCATACAGAAATGCCACACCCAAAGATCCCTTCTGGACATGGTTCTGAAGCCTGCCAGCTCTCACATTTTCCTAAGTAGTTCCCATGCCTGGCCCATCCCTGCTGCCCCATCTTAATGCTGGCTATTGTGGTGACTGAAACAACAGGCTGGGTGGGCAGATGACACATCACATCTTTGCCACAGGGCTGATTCCCATTTCCAGGAAGAGAAATTTCAGTGGTAGGTACAACGGCCTGCCTTCCCGGTAATTGCAGGTGGAGCTTTACCAAATAACAGACTAGGAGGAGTCACTGTCTGGCCATCGTCCCTCATCTGTGTTTTCTCCTTTGCGTTGCTCAGCCACTAAGCCAATGTCACATATTTAGATTTTTTTTGTTCAAGTTGCATCTCACCTTCAGCACAAATGTCTGCATTAGCTATAGGTTACGCTACTATAGCAAACAGATTCCAAGATGCAGTGACGCAAACATGATAGAATTCTGTTTTTCTCTCACACAACAATTCCGAGTAGGCCCCAGGCAAACAGGCAACTCTGCCCCATGAGTTGACCAGGTTTCCAAATTCCTTCTCTCTCCTTGCTGCTCCTCCATTCCCATGGCCACAAGGTCAAAAGTGTCCCACTTCATCACCTCCACCTTCCAGCCTGTGGAAGGAGAAAAGAATGGAAGTAATAGGCAAGCAACCTCCTTACCAAAAGTATGATCCAGAAATTTCCCACATCACTTTGGGCCACATCCCATTGGCCAGAACTGAATCATGTGACCACACTGTGCTGCAAGGGAGTCTGGGAATTACAGTCCCTAGCTGAGTGGCCATGTTGGAATGGGAGGCACTTGTATTACTTAAAGGAAGAAATAGGAAATGAATACTGGGGAACAATTCCTATCTCTGCCTTAGGGAAAAAGGCAATTTACAAACAGTGGTACAGACCAAATACCACATCTTGCTGGTCAAGGGAAAACCCAGGTTCCATGGTGATTTGTTCGTAGACTCACTTCCCTGAATATGGGGACTTTCTTAACCAATCTGGTTATGCAAACATCTTGTCTCCTGGGAGCAGCCTTGGCTTATTGTACCCCAGAAACTACCCTGAGAGAGCCAATAGGAAGGACTCCCTTACTGAGAGCTGGGCCATCTTAGAAGCCCACATCCCATTGGAGGCCCAAGGATGGTTTTAAGGCTTGTGCAATCACAGGCAACTTGCACAAAGCTCGGGGTTTTGTTTTTGTTAGTTGATTTCTTTTTAGTTAGTTCTGACAGTTTGTTTTGCAACACAGCTGAAATAGAACCCTGGCTGAACTCTGACAGCCAGTACCTAACCCCCAAAATTTTGTCCAGGCTCAAACTTGGAATCAGGATCTATCTTAGTCCATTCAGGCTGCTATAACAGAATACCATAGACTGGGTAGCTTGTAAATAACAGAAGTGTATTGCTCACAGTTCTGGAGACCAGAAAGTCCAAGGTCAAGGCACTGGCAGGTTCAGTGAGGGCCTGCTTACTCATAGACGGTGACTCCTTTCTATGTCCTCATGCTGCAGAAGGGGCAAGGCAGTTCTCTGGTTTTATAAGTGCATGACTCCCATTCCTAGGCTTGGTCACTTTCATTCTGTTCTCATTATCTAATCGTTCCTCCAAAGGCCCCACTTCTTAATACCGTCACCTTGGGGGCTAGGATTTCAACATATGAATTTGATGGGAACACATTCATACCGTGGGGATCTTAGATGCAGGTGTGGGGGCTCTACTTGTTTTCGTAAGCATCAGCATCTCCCCTGGCCTTGACCTCTGCAGGGGTGATGCGGCTGCCTAATCTGCCTGTTGTGCTGCCCTGCTCCCAAGCTGTGCTTCATCATGGAGGCACTGGGTAAATTAAGACAGTGCCAGGTTCTTGGGAAGGGCCACTACCATGGACCAAAGAGTCTACCGGTGCCCCAAGTCGAATTGCCCTTTCCTTCTCCCCATCTTGTTTGGAGTAACCAGTTCCTTCCTGCTTTGGAATGGGGCAAGCCTCTTACTCAACACACGCAGCAGGAAGTGTTTCTGCCAGACTTACCACTGGACTCTGCTCTCTTCTCAGGGTGCAACATAGAAAATGCCTGCTACCCTCTGGGCATCTGTGCTGAACGGACCGCTATCCAGAAGGCCGTCTCAGAAGGGTACAAGGATTTCAAGGCAATTGCTATTGCCAGGTGAGTGGGAAGGCCCAGGTTGCAACAATATTCATTCATCTATTTAGCCAACATCTTCCTTACACATATTATTCATTCATTCATTCATCTGTCATATGTTTATTGTGGACTTCCTATGTGCCAGGCACTGTATAGGGCCCCGGGATGAGTGCTGAGGATAAGGAGACAAATAAGAAATGGAGTCTGTCCTCAGTGAGCCTGCAAGGCAGGTAAATAAGCAAGGCAACTCTCATACAAGGGCCGGTATGCCCCTGTTCCAGCAACACAAAGTGATACAGACTCCTTTCCTACAAGATACCACAGAAAGGCAGCCTTGAAACACAAAGTGGGGAGGACCTAAAAATCACCTGCTATAGACTCCCTTGCCACCTTTTTATAGCTGATGAAATTGAGGCCCAGATAAGTTGAGCAACTTTCCTGGGAGTTAGTGCCAGTGCTGGGATAAAACCCAGGTTCCGGAGTCTCACTGCAGGGCTCATTCCACTGTGTCATGCCGTGCTAGGAGATGGAACACTTTTCCCTGCTCTCCGCAAGCTGATGCTAGGATCCTGAATGAGCCACTCAGCACTGCTCACTCCTTCATTTGGCAACACTCGCCTCAAGGTTCAAGAACCAGGATACAAAATCAGCCAGGTAAACACTAGTTATGGTTCCAACTAATCAGAGTCCAGCCCAGGTTCTGGCTGAACAAGAGCCCCAATCAATGCTCCTATACGTCCCAAACATAAATATCCTAGTTGTCATGGCTTACTCTCCATGGGAGCATGTTGAATTCTTGTTGGCTCTGGCCCTAGACTCAGTGGTTTCAGGATCCAAGCATGTAAATTAGCCCTTTTACTGGACTCCGTTATTTAATGACTTAATGTTGAATCGCTCCAGTGTGCACCTTTGCATTGTGTATGACAGTTTTCTTAACAAATTATTGATGCAAGAAAAATGACATGGGAAATGTTTATCCCACCCAGAAGGAGGCTGCATGCTTGTTGGTCTTTAGGAACATCTGGGTGCATAGGTCACATTCTATGAGGGAATTACCTCTTCACTCATAGTGGAATTAATTCCTGTGGCAGAGCTACAGCACCTTTCTGGCTAAAATGCAGAAATGCAGGGGTTTAGTGCAAGGTCAGTGGGGACTGTACAGAAGCAAGCCCATGTGCCTTTTGTAAGATCCTCAACTTTGCCTCAGTCTGGCCCCGAGGTGACCCGGCTTATTCAAGGTTTGTTTCTGAGTAAGTAAAGCCCAAGGTGCACTTAAGGAGAAGGGCCCCAGTATCCGAGAGCCTTCCCTGTGACCGAGGTGTGTCCTGGCTTCCTTAAGGCTTCCAAAGGAATAAATGACGTCGTGCTGAGAACATTTTGTGCAGATAGGCCGAGATCAGGATGTGAATTGCACTTTATGGAAAAAAAAAAAAAAAAGGAGGGAAATAACTCAATTTCAAAGCTGATCCAAGAAAATAATGATATTCTAGGGAAAAAGAGGCCAAAGTCAACCAAAGGATAATGATGCCTTGCTCTGTTTAGAATTTTCCAAATGAGAGGCTTTTTCTCTTGGTCATTATCTACTTTCAAACACAAGGAACTGTCACTAGCAGTGATTAGCAAATGTCGTTATTTACACAAAACCTGCCATTTTTCCAGCCCCCAACTGCCGTACTCTGGGTATTCAGCCTGCATCAGTGTCCCTGAGCCCAAAATACACTCATTATCACACTCATGATTTGTTAAATTGAGAGCGTTTGTGGATTTAGAGGATGAATGAGAAGTACCAACTCCCTCATTAACATCAGATGGGTCTGAGCAGCCTCAGAGAGAACGCCTCTGAGGTCTCTAAGGATGGAGACCACACTCAGGAAAGGTCCGTGTGTCTTACTGCTCATTGACAGATGAGCTTGCCCCACTGGGTCCCAGCTCTAATGATCAGAGTCAGTAGGTTTCCAGCCCATCGAGTCTGATAACCATGGCCTCAGTGTGTGACCAAGGTGAACACAAACCACAGAAAACTGTAAATAGCCAGCAAAAGGCGGGACAGAGTGAAGAGCAGGGGAGAGGGAGAAAGGGGGAAGCGGTGAAGCGGTAAAGAAACATCCTGAGGCAGCCAGCAAGTGCTCACTCAGTCTTGAGTCTCTCTCTTGGCAGGAACGTTGAGTAAGTTAGAAGCTAGGCTTCAGCATCAATGAAACCTGTTTCCAAATCCAGCAGCATTATGGACCTTAGGCACGCTGCTTAGACCCTGAGCCTGGCTTCTCATCTGTGAAATGGAGGAGACTGGTTTGTTATAGGGTCTCATGAAATGATTTCTATACAGTTCCTGACACAGGGTATGTAATACATTCACACTATTATATAGTTGCTTTTTTTTTTTTTTTTTTTTTTTTGGTTTTTGGTTTTGTTGTTTTTCTTTGAGAACAAGTCTCGCTGTGCTGCCCAGGCTGGCGTGCCATGGCAAGATCTCGGCTCACTGCAACCTCTGCCTCCCAGGTTCAAGCGGTTCTCATGCTTCAGCCTCCTGAGTAGCTGAGACTACAGGTGCCTGCCACCATGCCTGGCTAATTTTTGAGTTTTTAGTAGAGATGGGGTTTCACCATGTTGACCAAGCTGGTCTCGAACTTCTGGCCTCAAGTGATCCGCCCACCTCGGCCTCCCAAAGTGCTGGGATTATAGGTGTGAGTGACCACATTCAGCCTCAAACTATTACATTGTTTTAAAGTTATCGTTCTTTATTCTGCAAGCCGCAAAACTACCAAAGGCAGAGTGTGTAAATTTGGGGTTCAAATCCTGATTCTGCCACTTTACTAACTTTGTGTCCTTGGGCAAGCCGTTTCGTCTTTCGTGATCTATAGCATGCAGGTGATAAGAGGGCCTGCATACCCCCGCCCTTACAGGGTTGTTGGGGGATTAACTGAACTAATTCACTTAAGGTCCTTAGCACAGAGGCGGGCACACAGAACCACCATGTACGGGTAAGCCATTAATGTTAACAGGCTGTCTCTACATCCTCAGTGCTAGGCTGCCTGGAAACACCATCCTGTGACTTGGCTGTTGAAGCCTACACCAAATCTACCTTCCCAGTGGAATGCATGCTTACCTCGAAATCCCTGATGCAGATCACCTTGTCCAGGGAGCTAGCCATTGGGTGGGCCACAGATGCCACAAGATTCAGAAAGGAGGCCAGACGTGGTGGCTCACGCCTGTAATCCCAGCACTTTGGAAGGCCGAGGTGGGTGGATCATGAGGTCAGGAGATCGAGACCATCCTGCCTAACACGGTGAAACCTCGTCTCTACTAAAAATACAAAAAAAAATTAGCCGGGCATGGTGGCGGGCACCTGTTGTGCCAGCTACTTGGGAGGCTGAGGCAGGAGAATGGCATGAACCTGGGAGGCGGAGGTTGCAGTGAGCCGAGATTACGCCACTGCACTCCAGCCTGGGCGACAGAGAGAGACTCCGTCTCAAAAAAAAGATTCAGAAAGGAAGCGGTGAGCTCCGCAGGGGTCAGATTACACAGGGCCTTACAGGCCGTGGAAGGAAGGCTGAATTTCATTCAGAGCAACTCTCCCATGGCCCTAACCCATGGCCCTAACCATGCCTTTGTTACCGCATTTCTGTGAAATTGTATCTACCCCTCCGGAGGGTAAGCTCCAGGGATTGTCTGATGGGTCTTTGTCGCTCCTTTCCCATGCCTGCCTGGCAGAGAGAAGGGTTTTGGTCGACATGTGTGGAATGAAGTGAAAAATAACCCCCAAAAAGCTTAAGAGGGGCCCTGGCTGCAACAGCTGTTATCCAGTAATTGCAAGAGTTCACTCAGCGTCCTGGGCAGGAGTCGCCACCCTCTCATGTACCCATGGGTTTTTCTTCTGAAGCTGGAAGCGTGCTCAGAGAGAACCCCATGTTCCCATGGAACAGAACCTTTCATTGACTGGACCCCCACATATAAAAGGTAGTTATGGTGAGAATTAAAGAAAATAGCACCTCGGCTGCTTTATTTTAATCATAGTATCTATCCCTGTCTCCACATGGTTGGTTGGTTAATCAGTTGCCTACCTCCCCTCACTAGTCTATAAACTCCTGAGCATAGCGAATTTTGTCTGTTTTGTTCACTGCTGCACTCCTAACACCAACGACAGTGCCCAGCACATAGTAGGTGCTCAGTAAATGTTTGTTGGTTGAAATGAGACGATGCATATAAAATGCTTTGCAGAATGCCTGGCACATTCTAGGCACACATTATCTTTTTTTTTTCTTTTTTTTTTTGAGACGGAGTCTTGCTCTGTCGCCCAGACTGGAGTGCAGTGGCATGATCTCGGCTCACCGCAACCTCTGCCTCCCAGGTTCAAGCAATTCTCTGTCTCAGCCTCCTGAGTAGCTGGGATTACAGGCATCTGCCACCATGCCCGGCTAATTTTTGTATTTTTAGTGGAGATGGGATTTCACCATGTTGGCCAGGCTGGTCTTGAACTCCTGACTTTGTGATCCACCCACCTTGGCCTCCCAAAGTGCTGGGATTACAGGCATAGGCACACACTATCTTAATAACAATTGTTGTTAAGATATAATAAGATGAATTATTAAATAGTACATAAAACACATAGCATATAATAAAACTGTATGTGATAATGTACTAAAATTATGACAAAGCTTACATAGTAAGGAAATTAAATATCCAGCACTTAGAACAGGCAGTAACAATATGTATATAACATTCTAAAGTTTACAAAGTCTTCCATACACCTTATCTCATTTTATCTTCTAGCATTCTTACACAGCAGACTCTTACAAAGCATCCACATTTTCCAGCAAATAAATGAGCCTTGGATGAGCTAAAATGACTTAGCCAAAGTCACCCTTAGCAAAAGGAAGAGCCAACTAAGAACCAAACTTCCTGTGTTCTGCCAGGCACAGTGGCTCATGTCTGCAATCCCAGTACTTTGGGAGGCCAAGGTACAAAGATCTCTTGAGCCCAGGAGTTCAAGACCAGCCTGGGCAATATAGTGAGACCCTATTTCTACAACAAATCAAAAAATGATCTGGGTGTGGTGGTGTGTGCCTGCAGTCCCAGCTACTCAGGAGGCTGAGGTAAGAGGATCCTTTGAGGCCAGGAGGCAGAGGCTGCAGTGAGCCATGATTGTGCCACCGCACTGTAGCCTAGACAACAGAACAAGACCCTGTCTCAAATAAATAAATAAATAAATAAATAAAAATCCTATGTTCTTCCAGAGATATCACAAAGCTGTGTATCCAGAAGAATAAGGAGGATGGTGGCTGCTGACTTCACCTGTGGTGCTCCAGCAGGCTTGGAATTTTCCACCATCAAAGGCACTTGTTTGTTTTGTTTTGTTTTGTTTTATTTTGAGGCAGAGTCTCGCTCTGTCGCCCAGGCTGGAGTGCAGTGGCGCCATCTCGGCTCCCTGCAACCTCCACCTCCCGGGTTCAAGCGATTCTCCTGCCTCAGCCTCCCGAGTAGCTGGGACTACAGGCATGCACCACCAGGCCCAGCTAATTTTTATATTTTTAGTAGCAATGGGGTCTCACCATGTTGGCCAGGATGGTCTCGGTCTCTTGACCTCATGAGCCACCCGCCTCGGCCTCCAAAAGTGCTGGGATTATAGGCGTGAGCCACCGCGCCTGGCCAAAGCCACCTGTTTTAGGGACCAATCCTTGTCCTGCTCAGAGCTAGAGGTCTGCCTGTAGGAGCCTAAACTCTCACAGGCAATCCCTGGCTGGTGAGCTTCCCTTCTCCAGGCTTTCTCCAGTGCAAGGAACCCATTTTTCTCTCTTGAGTCACACGCACTTTATTCTTTCATGCCTCAGGGCCTTTGTACATACCGTGTTTTTGTTTGTTTGTTTGTTGTTTTTTGAGACAGGGTCTCTGTCAGCCAGGTGGCAGTTCACTGCAGCCTCCGCCTCCCAGGCTCAAGTGATCCTCCCGGCTCAGCCTCCCGAGTAGCTGGGACTACAGGCCTGCACCACCACACCTGGCTAATTTTTTGTATTTTTAGTAGAGATGTGGTTTCACCATGTTGGCCAGGCTGGTCTCAAACTCCTGACCTCAGATGATCCACCCACGTCGGCCTCTCAAAGTGCTGGGATTACAGGTGTGAGCCACCGCACCCAGCTGCATTTTGTTTAAAATGATAACTCAGCTGGTTTTTCGCATCACCCACTGGGCTGAACAATCTCCTGAAGACCACAGACAAATTCTCTTTGACCTTTGTATTCCCTGGGTGTGTGCTGGGATTACAGGTGTGAGCCACCGCACCCAGCTGCATTTTGTTTAAAATGATAACTCAGCTGGTTTTTTACATCACCCACTGGGCTGAACAATCTCCCAAAGCCCAGAGACAGATTCTCTTTGACCTTTGTATCCCCTGGGTGTGTACTGGGATTACAGGTGTGAGCTACTGCACCCAGCTGCATTTTGTTTAAAATGATAACTCAGCTGGTTTTTTACATCACCCACTGGGCTGAACAATCTCCTGAAGACCAGAGACAGATTCTCTTTGACCTTTGTATCCCCTGGGTGTGGGTGACGGTAAGTGCTCACTAAACGTTTATGGATGGCACTAACGAAAGTCCTGCTCGTGGCCCTGTCTTGTGGCAGTGTGGAAAGCCACCATGTGGCCGTCTCAGCCTTCAGGACACAGCGGATCTGTGAATCAGGAGCTGCCTAATGGGGTATGACCCAAATCAGGAACGAGGCGGAGACTCAGGGCCTAAATCTTAGCAATTGTCCTCAGGCCTTGGGAGAGATTAATTTGAGTTTGGTTCTTTGCTTCCCCAGTGACATGCAAGATGATTTTATCTCTCCATGTGGGGCCTGCAGGCAAGTCATGAGAGAGGTAAGCAGCTTCTCTTGCTTTCTGGAATGCAAATCTCTTCCCTGTCGCAGGCTGTGGGAGCCACGCCAAGCTGCAGGCGTGGCAGGCGTGGAGACACATCTATTGGCCCGTTTGCTCGGTTGGCTGACTTCTAAGGCCTCCCTACACTTGCATGAGTCACTGGAAATTATTCCTTCATTTAACAAATACTTACTGAGCGAGTGTCTGCTCTGTGCCAGGCACTGAGGTAGCTCTGGGGAGGCAGCAGGGAAAAGACGGGCCAGGCCCTGCCCTCACAGAGCTCATAGGCTAATGCAGAAGACAGATGATAAACAAGGAGCAAAATAAATAAACAAACAGTGGCGTTTCTGAGAGTCAAGAGGGCTATAGAGGGAAAAAAAATGCAGAAAAAAAAAAAGGAGTCCAGTGACAAAGGGGCAAGCAAGGGACACTGCAGACTGGGGTCAGCGAACAACAGCCCATGGGCCAAATCCAGCCTGCTGCTTATATTTGTAAATAAAGTTTTATTGGTACACAGCCATGGCCATTCACTCACCTATTGTCCATAGCCACTTTGCCCTGACAACAGCAGAGGTGAGCCATTACGACAAAGGCCACATGGCCTCTAAACCTAAGATATTTACTGTCTGGTCCTTGACAGAAAAAGGTTTGCCAACCCCTGCTTTAGATGTGCAGGAAGGGCCTCTTTTTGAGCATGACATTTGAGCAGAAATATAAATAATGAGAAAAAAATGAGAGGAACAAAGGTCTAGAAAAGGAGATTCTGAGACAGCATAAGCAGCAAGTTTTGCGCTCAGACTCTTGGTGAATTTGAGAAGAAGCAAGAAGGCACCAAGAGGGCTAGGGTCTGGTAAGTGAAAGGAAAGCAATGGGATTGAAGTCAGAAGGGTAGGCAGGGGCCAGATCACATGGGGCCTGGCCATGGGATAAAGGGTACATTTTATTCCAAGAATAAAGGAAACTGAAGTGTACACTTTTTTTTTTTTGAGACGGAGTCTTGCTCTGTCGCCCAGGCTGG